ACACACAGCGCACTACACACACACACACAGCGCACTACACACACACAGCGCACTACACGCACGCCCCCAAACAGCGCGCGCGCGCTTCACACCCCTCCCCCCTCGGCGCGCGCGCGCACGCGCATGCACTCTTCACACCTCCCCCAACACACGCGCGCAGGCGCAGAGACACACACGCTTCAAGCTCACAACACGCGCGCGCACACATTTCACCAATCCCACAACTCACGCGCGCCCACATCCCACTCCCCCTTCCCTCTTAGTGCCACCCATAGAATCTTTACCTTTCAAGCCATTCCTTAAAGAAGCGTAATTCGGGCATATGCAACACGGCCGGGTTCCCTTTGCAAAGCTGCACAAAGGCGCTAAGATCCCGAAGTTTCTGTGGATCCATGCTGGCTGAGTGATTACGCGCTGCAACTCTCCTCTGCTCCCACCCACCCCTTAGCACGCATGCGCGCCACCGTCACGGACTCTGTGACTTCAGGAACTTTCTGGAAATTGTCAGCCAGCCCACAGCCTGCTTACAAATCCTGGTTTGGCCTCACCCGAAAATATCCAAATCAATTTCTAATATCAAACCCTTATTGTTTGTTTGTTTTTTCTTCTTCATTGTATTTTAAAAGCCGTCCGTCCCTCTTTACCGGGCGAGGAGTTTAAAATGTCAGGCAGTATTTAGACCACCCACAAGCCCGGTTGCGGCAACTGCCCACGTGATCTCCAGGCTAACCAATTGTCTTACATGATTGCGTAATTCTCGACCAATGGACAGCAGGAAGCGCTCTTCTTTCGTCATCACAATGCGACAAGGCTGTGAAAGGCAAGAGCGACGTCTTTTGACCTGAAGCGGCTTTCTCAAGCCATATTGCAGATAACATGCTGGATGCTTGTTAATGTGATTGTGTCCGCAGTGTTTATAAATAATGGTGCTAACTGACGGATAATCAATCATGTTTCTCAAAACATTAAGAAATATCAGTACACCTGTAAAGAATCTCAATATTCAAGGTTAGACTCTCAGATTGTGGGGAGGGAACACGATGGAAAGCTGATTAACACCCATACAAACTTCCAATATTATGTAGGAAGCTCAGTCGTGTTAAACTGCTGAATTATAAAAAAAATTTTAAACTGAGTTGATGAAGGGACTTTTGGACAAGATGAAAGTCCACACTGGATCTGTAAATGAGTCTAAGAAGCAGGTAACGAGGTGCACAGGAATTTTTAAAACTATAAATTACTTTTTAAAAAAAAATTATTTTCTGTTAAACCCCCTTCGTGAGCCACCTGCAACTGTTTCAAATAAGCACAGAAAATTTTGGAAATGTGTACCCAACATCTGTGAAGATGGAAAAGTAGTAATATGTTTCAGATCCGTGACCGTTTATCAGAACAGGAGTTGGTTTGGCCTTGGGTTCCCATCAGTAAGTGTGTGAATGTAGCCTGAAGATTTTCTCTCTGGCCTTTAATGTTAAGTGTACTTTCTATTCTTCAGGATGCAGTATCTGCTTCCACAGGAGATTTTCCATTATACCTTCAGGACAGAAGAACCTCCCCCCTCGCTACCTTGGTCAGCCTAGCCCCTTCACACACCCTCATCTCCTTAAAACAGGTATGAAGTTAATGAAAAAATGAGCGATTGATGATTATGTGTTTGTCGGACACGCAGCTTCCAAACCTAGGAAATCAGTCCACAAAGTCCAAGCAATTCAGCTCCTTGTTTCATGGTGTTTGTTCCTAGTTGGTTTCAAGATGTTACAAGACGGGAGGTTTGGAAAAGCCTGCATTAACACCGTGGCTTTATTGGTGGAAATTAAGGACAATATGATTTGTTAGCTTCAAGCTTATAGCATGATACATCACAGAAGTAAGCCATTAGGCTCAACATGTGTTTGCTAGCGCTTCGAAAGAGCAACCCAGTTATTCCCAATCCCCTGCCCTTTCCTCATAAGCCCTACTAATTTTCTTTCCTTAGAATGTTTCCTTTTTAAAGTTATGATTGAATCTAAAACATGCAACTTAGTAGAAGGAGTAGGCTGAACTGATGTTGCTTTGACTCCAATTTTCTCTCTGTCGCCCTTAACTCCCTTGTCAATCAAAAATCTGTCAAATTTAACCTTAAATATAACTGTGCTGCTCTATTTCTGGCATTAAGTGTATTCCATCATACTTGCTTCAGCATCAGTGACTGCTGCTTCAGTTGCCTTGACCCCAAGCTCTGGAATTCCATCACTACACCTCTTTGCACCTCAACCTCACATTTCTCCTTTAAAACACATTTTGAAAATTTACCTCTTTGACCAGTCTTAGCAGCAATTATCTCCTGTGTGGCTCGGTGTCATTTTTTTGTTTCATAATGTTCATGTGCAGCAATTCTCTTTGGATGTTTGATTACATTAAAAGTGCTATACAGATATACATTGTTAAACGCATGTGCTATTCAAATCAACTACACTTTGTTCTGATTAATCCAAATCCTATATAAACAATTGCTTATAGAAAAGAAAATGTCAATTCTTGGAATTAAAACAATGCTGGAAATCCAGCTGATAATTGGTCTGAGAGGGAAGAATGGTTAACTTGCCCTCCCTCTCTCACCTGCTACGAAGTTCCAACATGTCTTTTTTCTATGAAGAGCATTTCAAGAAGCTGTGATATTTCAGAGAGTGTGACTGTATTTCTGCATCATCAACAGGCGAGGTCACTCCCGGGCTGTCACAGGTTGAATATGCCCTGCGTCGACATAAACTGCTGAGCCTGATCCACAAAGGAGCCGAGAGCTTGGGGACTTCTGACCATGCCATCATTCAGCTGTCCCACCCTACTTACTACATGACGAATGACATCCCGTTTCCCTTTCACCAGAACACAAACTTCCTCTACCTCTGCGGCTTTCAGGAGCCAGACAGCATACTGCTACTCCACAGTATTCCCGGAAAGAGCCTTCCTTCCCACAAAGCCGTCTTATTTGTGCCAAGAAGGAACCAAAGCCGAGAGCTCTGGGATGGCCCACGCTCTGGGGTAGATGGTGCAGTTTCCCTCACAGGTGTGGATGAGGCCTACACTACAGAGGAGTTCAGACATTACATACAGAAGTTTAAAGGTCAGTGGCATTTTGTGTAAGTGGGCAACCACATTGGGACTGGAGAGACAATCTCATCCAATGTAGAATTGTTTTTGGGGCGGGGGGAATGGAAATGTCAGGCCAGGGTCATCATTCAGAGGCTGGAGGTTACAATCCTCTACAGGGTAGAGTAAAGGGACCTCCACATCAGTTCTGCTCTGCTGCTGATCTGGGAGTATTCTAGGCGGGGTCCTTGAACAAACCATTACTTTCCCCAGCAGTAAACATGGGGATGATCAAACAAAAAAGAATGATCTTCATTTGCAGGAAGCCAGTTCTGTTGATCTGGTTCCATCAACGGTCCTAATGATGAGGGACTATTTTTTGATACAGTTTCACACCAGAATTTAATTTTAACAATAAATTTCTTATTGTTCAGGTTATTCATTCATATGATGTGCCTGTTGCTGGTTAAGCCGGCATTTATTGCCAATCCCTAATTTCCTTTGAGAAGGTGGTGGTGAGCCCACTTTTTGAATCGCTGAAGTCCTTGGGGTGTAGTGACACTCACAATGGTTTTAGGAAGGGAATTCCAGGACATTGACACAGAGACATTGAAAGAAAAATCATATATTTGCCAGTCAGAAATCTGTATTGCTTGGAGAGGTGCTTACAGGTGGTGATGCTTCTCTGTATCTACTGCTGTTGTCCTTCTCAGTTGTAGAGTTTGCTGATTTAGAAGGTGCTGTTGAAGTAGTTTCTGTGTGAATCTTGCAGCTAGTGTACACTGCTGCCACTGTGCATCAGTCAGTGGTGGGGGGAGTAACATAGAAACATAGAAGGTAGGAGCTGGTGGAGGCCATTCAACCCTTTGAACCTGCTCTGCCATTCTTCACGATCATGGCTGATCATCCAACTCAATAACCCAATCCTGCTTTCTCCACATAACCTTTAATCCCATTTGCCCCAAGCGCAGTGTCTAGTCGCCTCTTGAATACATTCAATGTTTTGGCATCAACTACTTCCTGTGGTAATGAATTCCACAGGCTCACCACTCTCTGGTTGAAGAAATGTCTCCTCGTCTCCGTCCTAAATTGTCTACTCCGAATCCTCATAGTGTGACCACTGGTTCTGGACACACCCACCATCAGGAACATCCTCCCTGCATCTACCCTGTCCAGTCCTGTTAGAATTTTATAAGTCTCTATGAGATTCCCCCTCATTCATCTGAACTCTAGCGAAAACAATCCCAACCTAGTCAATCTCTCCTCTTACATCAGACCCGCCATCCCCGGAATCAGCTGGTAAATCTTCGCTGCACTCCCTCGAGAGCAAGAGTATCCTTCCTCAGAAAGGGAGACCAAAATTGCACACAATATTCCAGGTGTCGCCTCACCAAGGCCCTGTACAACTGCAACAAAACATCCCTGCTCCTGTACTCAAAACCTCTCGCAATGAAGGCCAACATATCATTTGCCTTCTTTACTGCCTGCTGCACCTGCATGCTTACCTTCAGCGACTGGTGCACAAGGACACCCAGGTCCCGCTGCACACTCTGCTCTGCCAATTTACAGCCAGTTAGGTAGTAATCTGCCTTCTTGTTTTTGCTTCTGAAGTGAATAACCTCACATTTATTCAAATTATACTGCATCTGCCATTGATTTGCCCACTCACCAATCTGTCAAGATCATGCTGAAGGATCCCTGTATCCTCGTCACAGTTCACCCTCCCACATAACTTGGTATCATCCGTAAACTTGGAGCTGTTACATTTTGTTCCCTCATCCAAATCATTAATATATATTGTGAATAGCTGAGGTTCCAGCACCGATCTCTGTGGCACCCCACTTGTTACAGCCTGTCAATTTGAAAAGGACCCGTTAATTCCTACTCTTTGTTTCGTCTCTGCCAAGCAGTTTCCTATCCATCTCAATATACTTCCCCCAGTCTCATGCACTTTATATTGCATATTAATTTCTTATGTGGGACTTTGTCAAACACTTTATGCAAGTCCAAATATATTACATCGACTGGCTCCCCCTTGTCAACTCTACTAGTTACATATTCACAGAATTCCAACAGATTTGTCAGGCATGATTTCCCCTTCATAAATCCATGCTAACTCTGTCCAATCTTGCGACTGCTTTCTAAATGCTCTGCTATAAAATCCTTGACAATGGATTTGAGAATTTTCCCCACTACCAATGTTAGGCACACTGGTCAATAATTCCCTGTTTTCTCTCTACCTCCCTTTTTGAATATTGGAGTGACATTAGCCACCCTCCAAACTGCAGGGACTGTTCCAGAGTCTATAGAATCCTGGAAGATGGCCACCAATGCATCCACTATTTCTAGAGCTACTTCCTTAAGTATTCTGGGATGTACATTATCAGGCCCTGGGGATTTACTGGCCTTCAATCCCAATAATTTTCCCAGCACCATTTATCTACTAATATAGATCTCCCTCAATTCTTCACTCTCACTAACTCTTGCATCCTCCAACAATTCTTGTATCTGATTTTTGTCCTCTTTTTGTGAAGACAGAACTGTATTCAGTTCCTCAGCCATTTCTTTGTCCCCAATTATACATTCCCTCGTTTCTGTCTGTAGGGAACCTACGTTTGTCTTTACCAATCTCTTTCTCTTCACATACCTATAGAAACTCTTAGTGTCAGTCTTTATATTCCCTGCAAGCTTACTTTCGTACTCTATTTTCCCATTCTTAATCAATGCCTTAGTCCTTCTTTGCTGAATTCTAAACTGCTCCCAATCCTCAAATGTATTATTTTTGTTGGCCAATCTGTATGCTTCTTCCTTGGATTGGATACTATCGCTTATTTCCTCTGTAAGCCATGGATTGGCCCTCTTACCCATTTTGTTTTTGTGGCAGACAGGAATAAACAGTTGTTGCAGTTCCTCCATGCATTCCTTGAATGTTTGCTATTGCCTATCCACTGTCATCCCTTTAAGTAACTCTCCCCAATCTATTAAGGCCAACTCACGCTTCATATCCTTGTAGTTTCCGTTATTAAGATTCAGCACCCTAGTCTCCGAATCAACAACCTCACTCTCCATCTTGATAAAAAAATTCTATCATATTATGGTTGTTCTTCCCCAAGGGGTCTCGCACGGCTAGATTGGCAATGATTCCCTTCTCATTACACAGCACCTGATTACACAGTCCAAGATGGCCTGCTGTCTAGTTGGTTCCTCCACATATTGGTCAAGAAAACCATCCCGTACACACTCCAGGAATTCCTCCTTTACGGCATTGTACCTAATTTGATTTGCCCAATCTATGTGCAGATTAAAATCACCCATGATCACCAATATTCCCTTATCGTATGTATCTCTAATTTCCTGTTTAATGCCATCACCACTGCAGTTTGGGGTCTATATATGACAGCTAGTAATGTTTTTGCCCCCCTGGTATTTCTCAACTCTATCCATTCAGACTCCACGTTGTCAGAGCTAATATCCTTTCTCACTGTTGTGTTAATTTCCTCTTTAACCAGCAATGCCGTTCCGCCACCTGTTCTTTTTTGCCTGTCCTTCTTAAATACTGCATTCCCTGGGACATTCCCATCCCTGGTCACCCTGCAGCCACGTCTCCATAATCCCAATTATTATCATACCTGTTTACATCAATTTGCGCATGAATATTTAAGGTGGTGACTGCGATGCCAGTCAACCAGTTTCCTCATCTTGAATTGTGCCAAGTTTCTTGAATGTTGTTGGAGCTGCCCTCATCCAGGCAAGTGAAAGCTATTTCATCACACTCCTGACTTGTACTTTGTAGATGATGGACTAAGTATTAAGCAACTTTTTGTGACAAATGTAATAATATGATCAGCTGCTATTCAACAATCGTTCATAAATGAGATTGGTATGGGTAGAGTTGTAGGTGATCTAGTGAAAACAGGGTCCTGAGAATGTGTTACGTACTGTATTTTTGGGCATTCCTAATGTATCAGATTTCCTACAGGCTGAGCATAGAATCCAGTCCAACTGATTTTTGCACCCATTAATGTAAGTTTGATATGCTGGAATTGCTAGTGATATGGAACCTAGGGCCAGAAATGTGATGCCTCCTGCAGTGACTTCATCTACATTTGTAACAACCAAATAGTGAACACAGTAGCAAAAGTTACATTGACCAGGATGCTCCTAAATTCAAGATCTTTGTTAAAGTGCCTTATACATAAAACATTTGCTGATGGAAAAGCTTGAATTTCCAGAGCAACAGTGGAACCTGATGTTGGTTACATATAGAGGCAAAGCCATAATATCTTTGGATGGTTAATCCATAGTCCAGGCCAGTGTTTGGGGACATGGGTGCTGCCACGGTAGCTGGTGAAATTTGAACTTAATAAAATCTGGATTTAAAAATGAGGCGAATGGCAACCATGTAACTATTGTTAGTTGTTTTAAATACCCACCCTGGTTCACTAATGTCTTTTAGGGAATTGAACATTTTGTGTTCAGACCCACAGCAATATGGTTGACTCTTAGCTGCCTGCTGCAATGGCCTGGAAAGCCAATCTCAAAGGCAATTAGGATGAGCAACAAATGCTAGATTTGCAGAGATGGCCACAGTGACTACTGAGGCCAGTTGGCAAGTTTGGCTGACTAGCTGGGAGGTGAATTTGGAATTCAGATGCGTAAATGCGCAAAGCTCAGTTATGTGAGATGACTAGAGAGATTGTCTTTAAGAGTAGAGGAAGTTAATGAAAGACTGAATGAAAATGCTCAAAATTACAACTAGTTTTGCCGTGGTAAGCAGGGAGCAACTGATTCTACTGGCAGATTGGTAGATAACAGAAAGTCACAAACTTAAGGCTGTGAATGCTGTCAATACCGTCCATAGGGCACCCAAGCAGAGGCTCCTCAGTCTAATTATGAATTGGTGGAAGCAGCAGGGCCTACCTTCAAGATTGTACTGCCAACTGTTCCAGTTGGAAGTGAAAACAGGGCACAGGAAGCTGGGGCTGACTAAGAGGAGCTTCCCCAGAAGACTGTGCGGGTCAGGAAAGATCAGAA